AAATAAAACGAAATAAATACCGAATTTGTTACAAAATTTCTCATATAAATATCAATCTGATGTGGCAATGAGGCGATTGCGAAAGCCATTCTGTGCAAAAAAAAAGAGAATGAAAAATGGGTGAAACAGTTATGTCACAGATTATCTAGATCCATGGAATATTAATTGTTCTCCGGGAAAGGGGAATGTAAAAAGTATAAAACATGGTATCAGCGATGAGTAAATAAAAAAAAGGAGTGCAATTCCTTTTTTTATTGCGGCCACTGCAAAACCTATTCAACCAGAGACGAACAGAAGTGTTTGTCTCTCACAGCCAGTGCATCTAGACGGTAATTCAATTTCTCGTGTAGAGAACTGAGTCATCAAAACTTTTTCCTCAAGGGAGGCCAGACCAACACCCTTTTATTTCAGGGGTCGATATTTCAACGAGGGAGAAACACATGTGAAAATACTTATGGTTAAAGCAAGCTTCATCGATTACACCAAGAAAAATAAATATAATTGTATAATACGAATTTTTTACGGGCTGAAATAATTATCCAGTGAAGTATTTCTGGGGTAATTTCATAATTAACAAAATGTCATTCGCTTCATTAATTTTCACCACTTGAAAGTTATTTACGAGGAAAGAAGAAATAGAATAATCATCCAGTAAATTTTATCCTCAAAGGATCCTGCACCGCGGAGTGAATATTTTCTTTTTATTTCAGGTCTAAATATTGTTAATTATGCTGAGTACTAGTGCAATTAAATTCCCCCGCATGAATTAACAATTAAAAAGAACTAGAAAATTCGTAAAAGGGAAAAACAACGAGAAGCAAAATATTTTGTATTCATTTCAGTAATTGAAAAAATGGGTGTAATGAGGAAAAAGTCGAAATGACAAAGGCTTTAGAAAATATCACCCCCCACATTGTTGAAAATATGCCACAGATTCTTTTGTCGTTGGTAATAAAAAGCATTGAACAATAAAACACCTAGCGCAAGGAAATTGCATTGATAAAACCGCCCCAACGTACCATATGAGTCTGACGTCAGCGATCATACAGTCTTCATGACGTTGTCATTGGTCACGTCACTCATTGCCACCCACGTCACGACGCGATTAAACTCCTCCCACCATAAAATTTTCCATTTCCAAATAAAACCGGCAGTACCGAATAAAAAAAAACGTCGAATTCCGGTACCTCAAAAAGCAAAAATAAAGAATCGATTTAATAATTAAAGAAATTTAATCACCATTTTACAATTATAATTATAAAACAAATAGACTCATTATCTCTGGATATAGTAAAGATAAATGATAATGTTTTGATAATTGATAATTTTGTGGTTAAATCGGAAACATTTTCAGACTTCGTGATATGATTTTCACAAAAATCGATACCATCATCTTAATTGCGAGAAAATAAGACGCGAAGGGGTCATTATCCCTGTAGAGTTTGTTTCAATTCCGTGTTACCATGTGACGAATGGCGGGGGTGGAGGGACAATTGAACGTCTGCAGGCAAGGGTTGATATCGATTTTCAACCCTCAGTCCTCATCTTCCCTTCATCCCCAGCTCCGAGTGCTTTTCCCCGTAGCACGCAACGTCAAAGTAAATTCCCTCCTGCACGCCAACTCATTTAACTTTCCTGGACTTGTCTCTTCTATCTTCTCCCAAAGGTCAAACACTAGATGGAATTCCATTAAGTACACGACAAAGAGCACTGGACATTTTATATAGGACAATAATCCACTCAATACTAGAACCTATAAGCAATAATCTGTACATACGAAAATTGATTAAAATTTATCCTAGCCTCAGATATTGATAACGAATAATATAATAAATATATAAAAAAAACTATAACACTACGAAAAATAAATAAATAATTAATAATAAGGATTATAAGGTCACGTGTATTCGGGGATGAATTGGGAATTTATTACTTTATTAATTTATACGTGCACCTAGAGGAAATATGTGCAATTATGGAGTGATGTCTTTTTTTTTTTAATTTACTGGGTTTTGTGGATGGTTGACCCACTTTAGGGGCATGTACCGCACTGTACTGGACTGAGTTGTCCAGTAACCTCGGGCACGAGGGCAGGAAAGAAAGTGGAGTACTGATGGCAGTCTGAGAGAGGTGAATGAAAATTTGTTGAGAGATACGATTAGATTGTAACGAGTGTACGAGAGTATGTGATGTGTCGCGAATGGCTTTCACCACTTTCTTGCGAGAAAAACTAGTATTTATCAGTGTTGGCCTTATATCACGTGTTGAAGATGCTTTTTAAAGTGGATTTCGAATTTTTTGGGTGAGAATTCTGGGAATCAAGGTCATGCACGTAGAATTCTTATCACTGATCTATCCTGCAATGAGTCAAATCAATTAATTCATAAATATATTATTTATAAATATCGATGGAATAATTTTATTTCGTACTTATGAATCGTAGAAATCAATTTTTAATGGGAAAAAAATCAATCCTATTGTCATTATCACTCCCCACAAAAATAGGAATTGCGACAGCTCTGAAGTTTCCGTCCTTGTAGGTATATAATTCTCCATGTGGGAGGAACATGACTCATAACCAGACAAATGTCCCACGCTCGCCTTCCTAATCAACCGTCGTAAACCTTTAAAAGAATTCCCCTATCTTGTCAACAAAAATAGCGAATCCATAAACATGAACTCGAAGAGGAAAAAAAATTGAGTTTTCGTTGGTCCTTGCACTTCTGTCACAAGTGCATTATAAAAAATTCAAAGACCGACTCATCAATACTTTTGTTTTCATCTCATTCGTTTCAACACATTCTCACTCATGAACATATTCACCAGTAAAATGAATGGAAAGACATCCGGCCATTCGATTTCCCAATGAAGGCTTTCCCCATTTAAATAATGACTCCTGTTATACTGCGATAAACAACCAAAAGAAAAAGTTCAGCAAAGTGAAAAGTTCTTGAGCTGCGCAAATATCGCAAGAAATATTAATAATATACTGTACTGTAATTATATATTTCTGTATGCAGGACAAATGGCAAAATTTAAATTAAATAAAACACCAGGTTATAACGCAATAATTCATAAAATAGTAGACGAATTATTGGGCAGATCTTATCAATTAGAAAGTACTTGGTTTAATTCACCCTCGACACCGAGTCCTTTCATATTTTCATGTTCTCAAGTCCAGAATTCCCGATCACTTCACCAATTCCTTTCTACATGGATCGAATAATCGAAAATCACCGGAAGTTAAACGACCCGCACTGACTTTACACTTTCCTCCATGAATAATGAAAAAAAAAAAAATATATCATGAACCTTTCCACGATTGTCTTCACTCAAGTTGCTTAATCCGAACGCTCCAAATTTCCCACCGACTTCCCTCCTCTCATAACGTGAGAAATGAATTCCCGTTTGTGATTAACTCTTTCCTCTCGAAGGAGAACACAATAAACGTAATCCTTTCTCCTGAATAATTTCTTTGCACGATATATAATGTATAACGGAGGCTCCCAATCAGCTAGCCAATCATCCTGAATGCAAACGGAATCAGTAGTGGAATAGAGAAAAAGTAACAGAGATAATTGAAATAAAAAAGCAGTGCATAACTGTTCATGGTCTTTCTGTGTCTTGGTCTCTTTATTTATATATTTTTTCATCAGGTTCTCTCGGTGTTCTATGGAGCATCGACGCGCACCGGAGAACATACTTGTGAGTAAAGCAAGAATTACTCTTGCATTCCGGTGCGACGCGCCTCGTTGGACTTGACACGTATTACTTTGCATTCCAGCATTGCCTACCCACTGTCCCTCATTTATCTACCCAAAACGCCCTCACTAAAATTCTTTGCATAAGTATAAATACATGAATTTTCACGATGAAAGATATAACGTTACTTGGACCTCACGAGTTTTCCTGAGAAAAAAAAATCATTTTTATCGATTTTCAAAAAAAAAAAATATTTTCATGGATTAAAAAAAAATGAATTTTCATCGATTTTTGAAAAAAAAAAATTATTTTCATTTCTCAATTGAATTGAATATTCTTTTGGACTCGTGGAGAGGTCCACTACTTAGAACTCATGAGGTTTCCTGAGAATTGAAAAAAAATCATTTTTATCGATTTTCAAAAAAAAAAAATATTTTCATCGATTTAAAAAAAATGAATTTTCATCGATTTTTGAAAAAAAAAATTATTTTCATTTCTCAATTGAATTGAATATTCTTTTGGACTCATGGAGAGGTCCACTACTTAGAACTCATGAGGTTTCCTGAGAATTAAAAAAAAATCATTGTTATCGATTTTCAAAAAAATCGATGTTCATCGATTTTTGAAAAAAAATTTATTTTCATTTCTCAATTGAATTGAATGTTTTTTTTGGATTCATAGAGAGGTCCGCTACTTGGAACTCGCGAGTTTTCCTGAGAATAAAAAAAAAATCATTTTTATTGATTTTCAAAAAAAATATATTTCCATCGATTTAAAAAAAAAAAAATATTTTCTCTTCTCGATTGAATTGAATATTCTTTTGGACTCATAGAGAGGTCCACTGCTGGAATTCACGAGTTTTCCCGAGAATTTTCACGCCGGAAGGTATCCATCTAGCCCATTCACCTCCTAGATAACCATTTAATTAAACATTACACTTTCCCCTTGTCGCGTTGATTTGATTCGTCTAATATCCTCGATCTCACGAAATATTTAGTTTGGGAAAAAATGATTCAAATAAATTCAAGGAAAAGATACGCACGAGAGCATCACGTGTGAATTTTCCTCCCAGGGCGCCCCCGGGGTGAACGAATCGCAATACACAGCGCGAAAATACGATACGAATATAATTGAATATAAATTGACATGTAATAAGTAGGAATTGAGAGCTGTCAATTGAATCATTCCCTCTTAGAATAAATAACGAAGTGAACATTGACGCCTCATCGACGAGAGACAGTCGTCTCCCCTTATTGACCCAAGGATAATAGAATAATTATAATTTAATGGATAATTACCAAGGAGTCGTCTCCATTTTCAGTGCTCATAGCCCGAGGTCTCAGTCCACCTCTTCATCTCCTCAGCGTGAATAATCCTCTCATGTATCGTGAATTGAGGTAATAATCCTTGAATTTCAGTGATTGAACTTATGTTTCGTCTTGCACCTGTCATTGGGTCGCGAAGTGCTGAGACTCAGGGATTCGAGTGAGAGGTGAACTCTCCAGTTGATGAGGAAGGGGAATAAACACTGACACAAGAAACGTCAACGACACTAATAATTTACATTATTCGGGCCTTGAATTGGGATTTATGCACTTCTCGAGGTGAATCTGTAGAGGAATTTGAAATGCATCTGCGAGGTCGGGGTTTCAAGTGTTGGGGACTTTGGGTTAACTGTTTGATGAATGGAAAAATGGAGAGAATGGGGCACCTCGCGGACTCGCGTGTTGTTGCAAACTTCCAGAGACTCCAGTGATGTTACGCTTGGGGCCCGACGGGGGACGCCATTCCCTTCCCTCCAATCGTATCCCCTCTCGATTTTACCTGGTTGGTACAGGTTGATCAAGTTGTTATCGCTCTGCCAGCAAAAGGTGTAGCTCCCATGGTCACACGCAAAGAGGATTGAAGGTAGAGGCTCAGTTCTGGGGGTTTGAGTGACCCCAGGGGCATTGTAGTACTGCACCCCAAGAGAGGGAGGGCGCCACACGCAAAGGGTGAATTTTATGTTCTGCGGCATGAATGCTTTTTGTTTTTTATTTGTTTAACTGAAATTTAATCGACTATGGAACGAGCGAAAGGGGGAAACCACATCTTGTGGAATTTCAATGAAAAAAG